CCTGCGGCCACACTTCCGGCAGCGCGTCACGTCCCTTCCGCCACACTTCCGGCAGCACGTCACATCCCTTCCGCCACACTTCCGGTAGTGCGCCACGTCCCTTCCGCCACACTTCCCCCCGTCTTACCGCGCATGCGTAGAAGGGCCGGCGGCCGTTAGGCGGGGCTGTGCCGCCATGTTGTGGGTATTTCACCTCAGTGGTGGCCGAGGTAGCCTTGTTGGGAGGCTGCGGGGGGGGCCGCCGCTTTCCCTTCATCTTTAACGGTAGTTGTGCCGTCGTGTCCTGCTGCTGCCTGTGAGCCATGTGCGGCCCTCGAGGCCTCTGTGTTGCCACACGGTGCCGGGGGTTCTAGGGCAATCAAAATAATTCCCATAGGGGGATTCGAGATTGCAGGCTTGGGAAGCAGTCTCGAAGGGAAGCAGCCAGCAGCGGTGTGCCTGCTCTGCCCCAACGAGCCGTCCCGAAAGCCCTCGTAACTTCATGCCTGGTTCCTCAGGCACAGAGCTTTATTTTGCCCTGAACTACATCTATTATTTAATATTACTTTGCTTATTTATATAAAGCTTTCCTCCCCTGTCTTCGCCACACTGGAGACTTGATGCTAATATTCTAAATTTAGTTATTATCGGAATAAAGCTTATTCAATTACAGCCAGTGCTGGCAGTAACAAGCTGACGCTGGAGAAGAGGGAGAGATGTTTATTCTTCCTCAAATATGTCCTGCAGGGAAAAAAGAAAAAAAAAAGATACAAGCAGCTCCCACTGTTCTCTTTGTAATGATCTCTAGTGGTGACTGATAACAGCAAAACCTCAGTTCATTAAAAGACATTCATTTTCTGCAGATTGTTCTCTAGCCTCTGCAGATGCCACCTCAGTGCCTGTCTTTATTGCTGGATCTCTTTCTAGTCTCTCTCTGGATGACTTATTTACTTATTTGTGAATATTTGGTAATGTGATGGTGTGAGTGTGTGTGTGTGTGTATATATATATATATATATATATATATAAAAGTGTGTATATATATATATATACACACTTTTTTTTTTTCTGGGCAGAGACTACTCAGCACTCGCTTGCTTACCAGATCCTTCATATGTCACCTCTTAACTAACTTGTTTTGCATATGAATCCAACCTTAGAATGATTTGGAGGGACATTCAGCTGGCATGTAATGCAGAGAACTTCTCCATTTCCATTTGTTAATAGTTAGCAGGAGATGGAGCTACGTATGCTCATAGTTCCCTGTCAGGTTTGTCTCTCTGGTCACAAAACCAGGGCTACTGGATTTTCGCAAAGCAGAAACTGAACAAGTCACTGAGTAACTGTTGCTGGATCAAAGATAGCACTAGAGAACAGTCTAGTTGGCAGAAAATTTGTTATCAAATTGGTATTGTGCGGAAAATCTCGCTGTCAAGAACTGAATGTCCAAAAGGAGACAGAGGAGTCCTAAAACTTTATTCGAATAAAGGGAGAGTCCACCGGGCATATCCCTGTGGGGTCTCTCAAATTGCTGGGGGACGCAGCCCCCCTTTTATCCTAATTTCCCGACCGAGGGACGCCCTCTCCTTTTCCCCATTGGCCAAGGTACTCAGAAGTTACAGCCTTCCCGGCCCGCCTACACCGAACTCCGGCCTCCCGCCATCTGTTCTCACCTGAGCTCACCAACTCCTTTGTCCCCCTTGCTGAAGAATGTGGGGCAATTGCCCTAGTCCTTTCCGTCGGACTATAGCGCTACCCAGGGGTCCTTTCCGTCAGACCTAGCCCTTTCCCTTCCGTCAGACCTAGTCCCTTCCGTCAGACCCCTTGAGGACCCCCTCCCAGTCCTACCTGCAGATCCCCCTGATCCGCTTCTCGTCTGTCTTCGGACAGTCTAGGGAACCCAATCAGTCGTCCGGTGCAGGCTGCCGTCGAAGGGAGTCGATCACCAAAAGCTATGGTGAGGCGCGCCGTCGACTCCAATCGCCGTCTGCCATTCCCGGAAGGGGGAAGGATCCTGGACGAGCCCCCATTTGTGCGGAAAATCTCGCCTTTTGGAAAAATGTCTCCTTTTGGACATTCAGTTCTTGACAGCGAGATTTTCCGCACAGTATAGTCAGAGTATCTTTGTCTTCACTGGCGTGACATAAATCATGGTTTTAAGTGATCTTACCTTGGGGAAAGAATTTCGAAAAATACCTCTGCCAGTCAAGCATGCTCTTTTAGCCAAAAAAAAGACTGAAAAAAAAAAAACCACAACAATTTACAGGTTCTTTGTAAGCTGTTTATGGTTGTCTATCCCGCAGTCTATCACTATCAGTCTATCAGTGTCTATCACTTAAGATTCTTAGGGTCACCTAGTGCATCATTGCATATGCTTAGTGTCAAACACTGTAGCCTCATGCATATCTTATGAGGGAACCTGATGCTAAAACATGCTCATTACTAATATTGCAGCATCCATTTAAATGTAACAAATTAGTGTGGTAAAAGTTGAATCGATCTGCTACCTAGTTGTTGGAAAATATATGCCCTTTTGTATTTCACAAGTAAACCATTATAAATACTATGCTATTTCTATTTGTGTTGTACCAGCTAATAAAGCTCTCAATTAGGTAGGTCTCTCATAACTCCCTTCTTGTTAAATACCTTCATTAGGAAAACACCTTAATATAGGCAACACCTCCTTGGAGCAGCAGGGCTGAGTGAAGATGATTTTAGTCAGCAGTTACCTGCAGAATAAAATTTAACGAGCTTGCAGGGGTCACTCTGATGGAGAGGCAAGGTGAGGCACTTTCTTTTCTGCATTCACAGTTGTCTTCATCAGCCCGTGGCCAGGCTCTTGGTGCTAGTTAGTGCCTAACAGGTACACTAAGAAACAAAGAGCATGCGTCAGCATACTTTGTAGTGCAATGCATTCCCTGGCTTTAGCTCTGCTGGTGCCCCTCAACAGCACTAAGAGCACTGCTCAGCATGGGCTGTAGATTTTTTTTAACAGTTTGAGAAATTGTGTACCTGTTATTAATACATTATGTTTTTTTCCATTCCTGTTGACAGGATCTGGCAGCCTTTCTTGTGGTGCGATCATTAATGTGTCTCCTGACCGCATTCTGTGCAGTTGTGCTCGGACTTGGCAGACGTGGTGCTAATAGCATCTGTCATGTCTCTGTCCAAGTGACTTTGGTGCAGCTGACACCCATCACATTCCTGCAGGCTCAGATGCAGATTTTCTCCTTACTCTTCGAGTTTTGTAGAGAGTTACGTTTGCATTTTTTTCCTGTCTTGTTAAATATGATCTGTTTATTGATTTATATTAAGAATGTATAATCCTCTCTTAATATGAACTGGGTTTTGCCTATTATACATCCTTTTATTCCTCTGTAGATTCACTGTGTAGTGCTTAGGCCTGTGGGTAGCATAACCTCATCTCCCACATGTCATATTCCTCTGCTGATCTTAAACTAAATCTACTAACCTGTGTTTGATAAATCTTCTTTGAGCTGAGCACGGCAGAGAAAATGCCCTATTTGTCTTTGCAGCAGCTTCCATGGTTTAACAGCTCTCACAGTGAAGATGTGTTCCATATTTCACCATGGAATATATATTTAACCATCATTTTTTATGTACCTGAATCACTGTTGAAAGCACTTTGACAGCCCCTACAAATAGCTTTTTCCTGACCGGTGATATCCTTTAAAAGTTTAATGTTAGGAGGCCATCCCTATGTCAGTAAAACAAAAATGAGTATTTCGTCAAATTAAAAATTCATCCAAGAAATCTCCATCACTTTGTAATCCCTCAAAAATCTGGCAGTTATCTCTTTGACACTCTCTGGGGGAAGAGTGAATGTCAAATGATGTTCATTTAAATGTGTAATATCGAAACAAATTGCTATCTTAGAGCTTGAATAATACAGCTTTTGCTGACAAAAACACAGGCAATGCATTCCAGATTGAGATTGCTTTTGTTTCTGAGAGTGAAGCTATGCTTTAGAAGCTTTCTGCTGCTAATGCTCGTGTTTTACAGCTTTCTTTAAATCTCATGCCCCAGTGGATATCCATGAGATAGCTGACTTTTCAATTACAAATAACTTAGGATACAGATAAGTTTAAATAATTTTCCTATATGAATATTATCAGTTCACTTTCTGCTGTATTTCAACATGGAAAATGGACATTTCCCTTGTCTGTGCATGTTGATAATGTTTCTGGTTTGGGCTGAGGGTGATTATTCCTCTCCCTATTACTCTCGGCCGTGGAAGATGTCTGAGGTTATCCTACTTGGTGGCTGTGCCACATGTGTCATTCTGTGCTGCATGTGTGGTAAGCCAGATGTAACGACAGTCACAGTTAATCACAGCGACATCTGCGGCAGTTCACAATAGCTGTTTGTTTGGTCTTTTTTAAGCCTCAGCTCCTGGATTCAGAGGATTACATAAGAATCTTCGTTTGAAGGAAAATTGTGGAGAGTGTTTGAAAGCAAAAGCTGAGCGTGGCATTAGGTATGAAATACAATGCTCAAGAGCATTTCTTTAGTTTAGACTTTTAAAAACAATCTTACAAATTGGGAAACGTGAGCTCTCTTGTTGAAGACTTGATATTGTCCATACATATGACACATATGTCTGCATTTTCTCTTTCCAAATGAGTCAGAGCAAGTTTTAAATGGATTTTCACCATTGCATGATTCTTCCCATTAAGGAACATGTTTTGCTTTAGACAACTGATCCAATATCCTGTATTTTCACTTGAACAGCAATTCATTGTGATACTGTATCCAAAACTGCTGTCATTAATACTTAGCTGTGTTTGTGCTATTGCAATAGCTCGTGTTATGGTCACTGTTCTTAACCATAGATCACTACCTGCCCTGTATTTCAACTACATAGGAACCTTTGTCCTTTTTCTATGCTATGTGCCCTTGAAAGCTGATTCTTTTCCATGTTGACTTTCTGGCTTACTGAGTTTGAACAAATGCTTTGGTTCATATACTTGCATGGGTAAATGTATAATGATTTCAGGCTGATAGAAGTCCTTTTATCCTGATTTTTTCATTGTGAAGCATCTACCTGTTCTATGCACTTTCCAGCCTGTACCTGACCACTCAGAAACTGTCTCTGCACTTCAAAGCTTCTACAAATACTGTTGGCTCATGTTAAGATAAGGAGGCACAAAGATTAAGTAATTCACCCAAAATATCTG